TAGTTTGAGGGGTATTTTGTCCTTTTTTGACGCTTTCTCCAGTCTCATGTGCAATATTTGAGAAGGTCCCAATGTGCCTTTGTTATAGTTCAGCATTTGGACTGTGAGAACTACACTGCTATGCCAGCAGAGAATTAAGTTTTTTCTCACCAATAATAAAAGTCACCCAATAAACCCTTTGGCACCTTATTTTTAAGGTTTAAGATATATATAATTATATTTATATATTTATATTTATATATTTGTATGTATATATTTATATATTTGTATGTATATATTTATATATTTGTATGTATATATTTATATATTTGTATGTATATATTTATATATTTGTATGTATATATTTATATATTTGTATGTATATATTTATATATTTGTATGTATGTATTTAGATGCATATTTATATTTTTATATATTTATGTATTTTTATATATATATAAAAAATAGTCTTGTTAGACTGCCTGAAAATGTTACATGTGATACATTATAGCTACAACAGAAATAAAGCTTATGTTTTGAAAGATATCACACTGCATACTTTTAAGAACTGTTGACTACTTAAAAATATTTGTGATTACACTTTCTTCCAGTTCCTCAGCAATGCAGCAGCCTACCTAAACTGGTTATATAGAAAATTTAAAAAAAAAAAATTATCAAATTGGCAGAACTTACTTCACAGAGAAGAAGTGTCTTCAGTCTCGACAGAAATAATTGCAGTCTTAGGGAACTTAAAGAGAAAACATTTTGACTTTTACCTCACTGGTTTATCTCAGGAACACATCTATCTCCCATGTCATCTTCACATGCTATAAAACAGGGATGGGCACCACAGTCAAATGACTTTGCAATCAGAAAAGCACTTCCAAGGCTGCAGGTTTCTCCTGGTGGAAGCACTGGAGCCTTTGCCACAGCAGTTGCTGAGTCAGGGAACTGATGCAGGTGAAGAATGAACTTTTTTCTGAACTGATACAAGCTATGAGTTGTATAGATAAAAATTCACGTATTCTTAACTGGGATCCATTTCCCAGTCTGGTTTGCTGAACAGACCCCAAAACCCCAGCATGACCCAGCTGGGGAACTAGAAGAGGCTGCTTACATCTATGCATAAAAGAAATGAGATGACAAAATTACAGTTTGAGTTCAGGATGACACTGAGGAAGTTTTACCTATTGCACACCTCCACCAGCCATCTCTGGAAGGGCAATAAACTGTTTACAAGATTTGTGGCGTTGCAGCAGATTTATCACGCGGACATAAAGAGAGGAGTCACCCTGTTTCCGTGACAAAGTACCATAAATATATAGGGATATATTGTTCTGAAAAAGATCTGTATAGCTTGACTGCTGCAACAAGTTCCCAGCATAGCTGCTTTTCCTGGAGCACTGCCATCATGTTTCCTTATCGCTAACTGAAGTAACTAACCAGCTAACTCCCAGTGATGTGCTTTGCCTTCTAGATCTGCATAAAGGTCATTTGCAAGGAAGAAAGGAGGGCATAATAAATAAATAAATAAATAAAATAAATAAATAAAAAGAAGCCATTGTGCCACATCCACGGCTTTGTTTCCAAAAGTCACTAAGAAGTGCAATGCCAGGCTGAAGTGTTTGACTATTCAGTAAGTACAAGGAGTGGCCAATTCCCTCCCCACAGTAAGACTGTTGACAGCTGTTTTAGAGGAGAAAAAAAGTGAAGCATGACTAAGCTGTTCATAAAAACCACACTATATCTAACACTCTAACAACAAGTTTTGGTTTAGAAAAAGTGCAGTGCTTCCTGGCCGTGAATGTCCAGGTGGTACATGACAGCCTTGAATCAGGCTTCCAACTGGATTGTACCCCCCGTGGCAAACCCCACAGCAGCAAAGCAGAACTCTGTCTACACCCAGAGCTATCAGCTGCCTCACAACGTCATTCATTACCTACCTTGATTACCTACAGGTGATCAATGCAAGCAAGCACATGAGCACTTGGCACCAAGCAGCACCCAGTAATCACAAACTGCAGACTGCAAGGTGCTTTCCACCCCAGCTTTCCACATCCAGACTCTCATGTGCCTTCGACTAGGAGTTATCCTCCAGCTAAAAACCACACCAACTGCCAACTGCCCTGTCCAGGAGACCGGTAAAACATGGGCCCACAACCACTCAGAGAGGGCACATCGTGCCTTTATGGCCTCCTGGACTACCTAACCTTTTGCTCAAGTTTTTTATTTCTTACCACTACCTTACACCAGTAGAGGAAAGCCAAAACCAAACAGTTCCTCCATACTAATCAGCTGTGTGGTTTAGCTGACTTCAGGCTATTTATTGCCTGTGTGGGGAACCCCTATAGAAATAACATTTAATAGCACTCAAGTAGATTGCAGAGATAACCAGCTACACTAATAACCAGAAAAGCTTCCAAGCTGCTTCAAGGTCAGTTTTACTGGCGAGTGGATCACCATCAAATACCAGGCAGAGAAAACTGATACAGTGATGTCCTGGAAAGGACGTGGGAAAGACATCATAGGTACAGCAGGCACAGCAGCTCCTACTAATGATTTTTTTGTTAAGTAGCTATTTATTAAAACTTATTATGCCAGCAGAAAATTATATGAAAGCACCCACTGCCTTTATAACACAGGAGCCTGTGCATACCACCAACAAACCTACCGATGTTTTTTTCCTCTAGTATAATTTATTGACCACTGTCTTAATTCATGCTTTGGATAGAATAACCAGATTCCTTTAACAGTAGTTAATCCTCCTCTTAGCACAGGAGCATACCCTAGACCAGAACATGGCTTACTCACGAGTATATCCTGCTGAGAGATTAGTAGCAAGTTCTACATATGCCTGAGTCTCAAAGCTTCCCTACACAGACTACGTTTTAAAACCATCCATCATCGGACAGTACCTGGCAGAGCTCTGTTCCTATGAGAAGCTCTGACTTCTTAACTTTGTTTTACTCCTTTGATGCACCAAAGCTGTAAATCAAGAACATCAAGCTCCTGCCTTTCTCTCTGGCTGCAGTCCCTGGCTGGACTCTGATACTTCGAACATGTTGTGTCCTCACCTCTCGGGCTATGTCGGCCATCCTTTGGCCGCCAGAGCCAGGCGAGAGACGAAGGCTGGAACACCATCAAGAAACACGGCTCATCCGCGCTACCCGCGGGAGACTCGTCATTCAGGCCACCTACAAAACCTGTCTGCCTGGCAGAACTCAACATCCGTGCCCTTCTAGCAACAGCCCCAGGCCAGCCTGTCTGCCCAGCACCGGGCAGCGCTGGAAGGACAGACAGGCGACGTACAGGCTCAACCCATGAATGCGGAACACAAGTATGCACTTGAACTCGTGCCAAGGGAAAACACATGCCCAGGTGATCCTCACCTTGCCTAATGCACTCTTACCCTGTTATCAGGCTTGGGGGAAAAAAAAAAAAAAAAGGCAAACAAACCCAACTTAAAGTGCCCAAACAATATACTGTCGCCATGGAAGTGTCCCAAAGCACAGCAAGCGCCTTCTGAGTGGATGCTCCTCTAGTGCAGACAGCGTCTTCTATCCACAGGCACAGATGTTATGAGGTTAATGTCAATCTGCTCCCACTACTAAGGTATCTATGTACAAAATCACACCTCTTCTAACATTGTAATAAATGAATCACCAGTACCTTTAAGGAATTCTGTGGAACTTGGTTCACCCTTTTCCACAATAGCTCGGCAAGGCCGTACAAAACATGAAAAACACACTTGGCAAGGGACTGAGGAGAGTCATCACAAACTGAAATAATGTAGCTTGGCCCTTTAAAAGTGATTAGATTACATTAGCCAAAACTCCCAGTACAGGAGACATCCATGGATCTCAGACCAACTGTCTAAACTCAGCTCTGAAGCTACATGCTTTACATATTTCTACTGCATCGCATATCTCCATGAGTACCTAAAGTTTTACGGCTGACGAAGATTACAGAGAGCCACAGCGACCAACTGTCCTACAGTAGTACAGGATTTCTAATCCCTTTATCAAGTCCCTGTCTGGTCATCCACAACATAATCGGTAGAGCATGCTCTTCAAAGAAAAAAAACTTCTATAAATCACTTTTTTTTTTTCCACTTTTGAGCTTCAGTTAACATGAAGCCCTGTAAAGGACACTGGAGCAGAACCAATTCCAGAGGTCAGCAAAATCGAACTCTCCAAATCCCAACTCCTCTGTATGACTTGCGGGGACAACACAGTCACAGAAGGTAGATTAATAAACCCAAACAGTTCACAGGTTAAGAAAATCCTCATCCAGAAGCTCATGCATTTGCTCCAGAAGAAATGTCCGCACTCGAGAAGAAAAAAAAAATAATTATATTTTCTGGCAATAGAGCGAACGCATGGAACAGGCCCTTCGGCAATGACCCTCTGAGCGACTTCAAAGGCCACTCAGCCCCAAAGGTGACACGCACCACCACCGGCGTGTTGCGGGGGGGGGGCCTCCTGATACGAACCCCCGACGACTTTCTGTGAAATAAACTGAGATACAAAGTTGCGTCCGCGAGGCTGGAGGGGGGATCCAGATCGGGGTATCAGTAATTCCAACGTGTAGGGGGGCCAGGCGGGTGCGTGTGCCGGGGCACCCACCCGGGCACACACCGGGCTCGTCCCGACCCGTCCCCGCCGCAGCGGAGCCGCCACCCCCGCCCGGCTGCGGGGGGACCGCGCCCGGCCCCGGCCCGCAGACAATAGCGGCGGGGAGCAGCCGAGCGAGAAAACACACCAAATAGATGGAAAACTAATACGAGCCGCGAAATGAAAGGGAATAAAGCCACGCGGAGACAAGGGGCCGCATGGAGCGGCTCCACGCGAAGTTGCGGCGGAGAAAACCCCCCGAGGAAGAGGAGGAAGGGCGGGGGAAGCGTGCGAGGTCGCGGGAAGGGGAGGGGGGGCCCCCTCCGTTCCCCCGTCCCCCCCCCTTCGCCGGGGGCCTCCCCAAACTTTCCCCCACCCCTTCGCCCAACTCCGGCGGGGCAAACTCACCGCGGGGCCCGGCGGGCGGCTTCGCCCCTGGCAGCGGGGCCGGGTGGGAAGGGAGAGGGACGGGGACGGGGAGGGGGCGGAGGAGGCGGCCGGGCCGGTGCTCTCCGCCCGGGGAGGCGGGCAGGAAGGAGGGGAGGAGGGCCGGGGGCTGCCGCCCTCGCAACCTGAGCCGGCGCCGCGCCCGCCCCGCGCCCGCCCCGTTCCAGCCCCGCTCCAGCCCCGCGCCCGCCCCGCATGCGCCGCCCGAGCGGGGCCGGGGGAGCTGCGGGCGGAGCGGACACCGCGGGCTCCTGCTCGGGGATGAGCTCCAGCTGCGCTCGCCCTGCCTCCCCAGGAGGGCTGGGGAACCCCAGGAGCGTCCCCTCCCCCGGGGTTTCGCCCTCCAGTGTGCCCCTCTCCCGGTTACTCGGCCGTCGTGGGAGGTGGAGCTGCTGGGTGTAAAGTTGTTGCTGCGGGTCTGAAAGGACAGGGGCGGCTTAGGCTGCGGGTTTGTTTTTGTCTGAGAGGGATCTGAGGGTTGCCCCGTGCCTGGAAGTGGGCTAGACCAGGTTAGATGGGGCTCTGAGCAGCCCGGTCTAGTGGAAGGTGTCCCTGCCCGTGGCAGCGGTGTTGGAACTGGATGATCTCTTAGGTCCCTTCCAACCCAAACCAGTCTGTGATTCTATGATCCTGCCTTCCCACGTGCTGAATTCCAGGGGTAAGGGCCTGTCCTGGTTGGGGATGGGTTCCTGGCATCCCTTTCTTCAGCAGTTAAACCCTCTCCTAGTGCCCAGAGCTCAGGCTGTCCAGCTGTGAACAGGATCGGCTGCATGTCTGTACCTGACACAAACCCAACAGGTCCTCTTGAACCCCACCAACCCAGCCCTCCGACTCATCCTGTTCCTCACCCTCTTTCCCTATGGTTGTGTGCAGCATGTATGTTTGATAGAGAAACATCTCCCGTACCGTTCCCACGCCTTGCCCCGGAAAAACAGTGGAAATGGCAACCCACCATTAGCAAATGAGCTCATGTGGCCTGTGGTCCATGTGTGGCTGGGCTGGAGGAGGCCCCGCGGAATGAAGATGAATGATCTGTTGTGGTGGTGACTTGCCTTCAGTTTCAGTTTTTGTTGGAAGCTCTTTGGAAATGTGTACATGTGGTGGCCCAACATTTCCACTTGGCTTCACTAACTGCACACATGTGTATCCCGCTAGCCCTGGCAGTGGCCAGATGATCACATCCACAAAGGCACTGTCAGCGCTGAGTTTTACATGCATGTCCTGCCCCACCACAGCTGGGCAGCCTCACCTTATGGCAACCACCCCAAAAGTACTTCACACAGTACTTTCCAAAGAGACCTTGCTGTTGGCCAGAGCACTCTGCAAAGGCTGCAGGTAATTCCCGTACACCCTGTTCTCTCCAGGTAGAACAGAAATAATAACACTGGTTACAGTGCAGAAGATTATCTGCTGAAAACCCTCTGTGTGAACTTGGCATTGGCTTCCAAAATATGCAATGTTGATTCAGTTTAAAGCAACTGAAATAATAAAAATGGTTTCAACCCTTGTGCATTGTGGTCATTTTGGAGACTGGAATGTGCCGGCACTTTACAACCAGATGTAAAGCGGTAGTTTTTCTTACATGGCTCCAACAGGATAAGGCACATGAGACCAAGGACCCTGGAAAAACATTTTCATTTTCCTTCCTGTCACCTCTACAAAAGGGGCTTATGAGGCAGATCACTTGGAGTTCCCAGATCCGAGAAGAGGGGTCAGGCACAGCAATGGCTCAGCAAAGAGCACCATCTAGTGAAAATCCACTTCTTGAAGAAACTCAGTCCCCTTCAAGGCGCCAACCAAACAATGACTAACTCAGCCCAGCCCAGCCCAATCTACCTCATCCCATCTGAAGCAATCGTGAGCAAGGTAGCATGGTAACAGATAACAGCTGTCTAAAATTTTCCATAACACACACACACCAAGATCTTTAGCTCTACCTTCTTGGTTGTCCATCAATGGCACATTTCCCTGCTTGTCAACTCCAGCCTGGCAAGTCAACCTCTGTCTTCTGCTCCCATGCCTGGAGCTGGCACAGCCCTGGTCTTGCTGTAGGTGCACCCCTCCCAGCCCCAAGTCACACTGTGGGGCTCAGAAGACCCAAAGAGAGGGCTCAACCTCCCAGATGAGTCTGTACCAGCCCTTGGATCTGGGCTCATATGTGCTGTTCTTGCAATAGTTTGGAAATACTTTCGGGGAGTCTTCTCAGCAGAAGGATGTGAAGGTCATGTGCCAGCATGGCTTCCCAGGAGCATTTACCATAGTGATAATATTCTAAACCAAGGAGGAAGGAAATTAGCATGGAAAACACTGAAAAAAGACAATGCAGCAGCTTAGCACCAAAGCAGGAGGATCAGCTGACGGGTCCTATTTATCAGAAGTGTTATGATCCTTTCAGACAAAGAAGGTAAATCAAAATACAGGCAGAGAAGGTTTAATTTTTTGTATCAGAAAGATTCCTTGCCAGAGTGGGCTTCTCCAGCTGCCTCCATATCCCCTACATATCCCCTACATATCCCCTACCTATCCCCAGAGTGCCAGGAGCTGACTTAGAAAGAGAATTAGCAAAGGTAGACAGGGTTGTAGGGTGGGTAGGCAGCTCTCCAGACTGCCAGGGGTCAGACAAAGGCTCAGTTTAGATCTGAGCCAAGGTCCCCCTTGCCTGTGGGAGGGCTCCTGGTGCCCCAAGACCAGAGGCCACCAAGAATCTGCCATGAAAAGGCTATATCAGCCACTTGAGATGCTCAGCCCCCTACTCTCAGTAGCACTTAACATATCTTTTTACCTCTCTTTTCCCTAAGATTAATCTGCACTCTACTTTAATCTTTAAATTATTATCCACCCCCAAATTCTCTAAGTCAAAATATCCTGTCTGCACCCACGTATCACCACAAACCAAAACAGGGAGGCAGTAGAAGGAAAATTTGTACAGCACTCTGTGGATGCCAATCTCCTGACAAATCATTTGCCTTCAAATCATCTCTGACACTAGTTCTCCAGGGTTCCACCCTCTGCCATACGTCCAGGTCTGCTTTTCAAACACCATTAAAAAAATATATCAGATGTTCTTTCATCGCCTCTTTCAGGTTTTAATTTGTCACAAACTTTGCTGCAGGGCTGCCTGATTCTTGCTGGGGAAACTGGATTTAAGTGTGAGTTACACTCGTGAATGAGACTGGAATTTGGTCCTGCACAACATAATCTGAACATTTGTGTGTAGTGGCATGAATTAGCAATATGAGCACATTGTTCCCATTTGCTGGAAATGAGCTGTCCTTGCAACTGAATAGAAAAGAGAGTGCAGTGCAATGATGGAAGCAGCAACTATTAAAGATTTGTTTTCATCATATTCAAGCAGCTACAAAACTGAGACACCGAGCATTACTGTGGCTGACAACAGTGTGTGGTGTTTTCTTTGTGTCCTTGCTTGTTGGAAGCCAGTGCCTGGTAGCTGAGATAACAGCAGCTACACCTGAGGAGATTTTAATGTCATTTTCCTTCTTCAAACTCTAGCAATGTCATCTCTGAAGTCCCGTGAGTGGTACACTCTTTGCTGCAAAATTATGTACTGTGGCTGAAAGCAGCCTTCAGGAGAAGTTAACCCATTCCTATGTGCTGTTTATACATCACAGTTAAAATGTAAAAGTTGCTAGTGTGTCACAACCATCAGACACTGGAGTTCGCCCTTGGGAAAGGAGATAGCCTGGAATGGGTGAACTGCAGTAAAACCCGCCCAAAACACAAACGTTTAATAGCCTACAAAATTATATTAATGAATTCAAAGAAAGTTCCCTGAGTTCTTCTACCCCTCTGTGGAAAGTCTGTGGGGCTTTGGTGGGAGAAGAAGGGGTGCAGGCTTTTATCTAGCTGTCACCCACCGTGTACCCCAGCCGCTCATCACAGCTCTTCACGATGATTTCTCAATTCTGGGAGGCAATGCTTATCAGTTGCTCATGCAGATGTCATTTTAGTTGCTCAATTGGTGGGGCACATCTAGCACGTCCACCCTCTGCAACTCACAGGGCCCCTCCATGTGCTGATAAGCTGTGCTAACACCAAGCTCTCAAAACTCCCCCTTACACATATCACTGGATAAATACTGATATAAATAGTGGGTTTAATTCTGGAAAAAAATTTCCAATTACTAATGTTTAAAGGACTTTAAAACAGGTAAGGGAACATCTCTGCTGATGGCCCCAGCAGAACTACACCCATGTGAATTTGTGACAGGCACAAATCATCATATTTCACTTTGTATTTGCTATAAATATTCTCCAGACCAAAGAAATTGTCTAGTGAAGTCCGTGTGGTATTTGCACCTGCCGCCCTGCTGGGTCTGTATGTGCAGATTCCAAGCAGTTCACACAAAAACAAGAAATAAAAGCAACCAAAGAATGAGATGACTCCACAATTGGCTTTGCTGTCCCACAGGGATGAGGTGTGTGCAGGTGTCTTGCACACAGGATGACATTTCATCCCCTCCTGCCTGGGCTCAGAAATAATATCCAGATTGGATGGGTCTTTGAGCAGCCTGGTCTAGTGGAAGGTCTCCCTGCCCATGGCAGGGGGTTGGAACTAGATTATCTCTAAGGTCGTTTCCCACATAAACCATTCTGTTATTCCACAGCCTCTTACTGCCTCTGCCAGACCTTTGAAGATCTGACAGTGTTGGCTTTCCCCAGCAGGGGCTCGAACTGTACCTGTGGGCTCCCCCTCTGTTCAACTCTGTAGGATAGGTGCTAGGAACAGCAGAAAGGGAGGGCTGAAAGGGGACTTGCACACTGTCATTAATCCTCCTGGAACAGTTTTCTCTTCCACTTCAGCTTTATACTTCATGCTTTGTCAAAGGACACTGTTTACAATCATCTGCTCTGGCCATCCTGTTCTTTTCAATAATCTCTTTAATTTAATATGATTCTATTTCTGTCTTCAGCAAGGATTGTTGTCCAGGTACGTGCAAAGCAAGGGATAGGCAAATCTATGCCAAAAGGCCTTATTGAAGTATCAGAAAACATCCATCAAAGCAGTTTATGAAACTGAATTATGTGGGACCCCAGGAGTAAAAATTGACAAATACA